CTTAAGCAGCCAGTTTGAATTTTGAATCTATTCATTAATAAACTACGTCATAAATTATCACCTGACATAGTATTATAAAATCATGTAACCATAATAATATAGGGCGTTCATTTATACTAAATCACAAAATCAAATGTATTATTATTATTGCTGTGTTTGATTCAAAATATGTATGTTTGGGTACATGTAGTGTATTAATTAAAAATTTAAATATTATTTGGCTTGTTCGAATGAATGCTATAGAATTCGAATTTTATATTAAACTATAATTTGCTAGGCTGAACTATTATATTATAATAGTTACCCTCTCTATGCTTTGTAGTGATCTGACGACTACAGGTGTCGTTGAGAGAAAGAGGATGGGGTGTAATTTTAAATGAACTTGTGAACTCTTGTGGTATAATTTATGGTAATATTTTCAATTATTCTAAGTGTTCAGAAAATATCGGTTGAAGTCGAATATTTTCTAAGTCCAAATAATTTACTGTTCAAAATTATTTTAAGTCCAAAATAATAAATCTAATAAATAAAAATGTTATAAATAAATGGAATTACTGCTATTTAGAGTTACAATAATTATAACTTGTATAATGTATTGGTATTCGGTTAATATTCCCGGTCTGGCGGCTTGATTTTTGACGTTATTTACGCTGGAGAAGTTAACATTTCATACTTATCGTACCAGCTAAACATCTAGTTTGTAAAATTATAAGTCAAACACGTTGTCCAAATATATTGTTAAGAGAGAAATAAATAATTTTAGTCGTTCGAATTCATGTTAATTACGATTATTAATTTTGATTTTCAGAATGGGGTTTGGCTAATGCAACGTACATGTCAGCTGTCTTATTGCCAGATAAGAATTTATTATTTATTGTTTATGTAATAATATTATCATGGGTCTGCATTCTGCTTAAATTGTAGCTGTGTCTGAGATACAACGGGGTCTCCCGCGCTCTTGTGGCAATAGGTTTCTTTTTTTTTTACTTTAATTGGCACTATTTTTTATTGGATATGCTCGTTCAATAATAACACTTATTTTGTCACAAGCACATACATTGAAAATTGCAATGCAAAGTTGTTTTTTCTGTTCACCTTTGACATAAATGCAGGTGAACTTTAATGAATTCAATATTCTACTTCGTTCTTCATACTCAATATCACCATATTCTATGGATAGTCTATGATAGTTACGTTCTAGCCACTTATTGGTTTTTCGACTTTTATTGTAGTGCATAGTTTTTGAATTTTTAAAAATCCAATGTTGAGTTGCCCATGTTTCTGTATCAACTATAGACATTTCTAATAAAATATTTATTGTCGGCTCCAAGAATGCATTGAATGTCCATGATAGCTGATGACATCATTGTTGATATATTATGAACTTATAAAATATATACAAAAATGTCTTCCAATACTTATACTCCAGTATCTCCCATATTTAACCAACTATTTATTGTACGAAATTATTTGCACATAAGTACACTACATACCCTGACTTATTCATTTAATATTACCTCTAAACTGTGTTCAGTTTATTCATAAATTAGAAATGTTAAATTAAACTATTTTTTGGAAAAAAGATTACTAAATGATATTCATTTTTCTAAATTTAATATACAATTTGTATTATAAAAATAAAAGTATCACCTGTCTTTTGACAATACATTACTTACATTATTTACTAAATATAAATATCAAATCGTTCACTTACCTCTTTGTCTAGTTTAACAGACACAGCGTCTACGTCATCAATCGTTTCGCGAGGTGTTCTTGGAATGTCTTGATCATTTAAAAAATTGAAAAGATCAAAATACCACAAGACCGGTTTGTATATGTCATCCTCTCCAGCCCCAGGGGTGGCTGATTTTTTTAATTTAGCAAGCTCCTTATAAACCCTTCTCAAGGAATTAATCTTCTTACAAACTCTCTTTGTTTGGTGAAGAGTCAACTTCCCGAAATTTTTTTAATAAGTTATAGAATTTTCAAACTCCAATAAAGTAGTAATTGATACGAACACTACGAATCAATACAATTAGATATTCACTCGATTTCTCATGTAGCGATTTTCTTATTTTGTTGTAATTCAAAAACAAATAGCTGTAAACACTTGAAATTTACTCCATATGTTTATTTTATCAATTCATATATACTTGATAAAATTTTCAGAATATTTTGTTTCGTTTTGAGGTGTTTACAGATATTTACAATTGTCCTGATTCTTACAATATCAGTTGAAAAATATTAAAAATACATTGGCACGATTTTGTTTTATAAGTATTTAAAGTTCAAATTTTGACAACATTTATCAAATGTTAAAAATACAAGTTAAAATAGTATTGACCCTAGGCATAAAAATAATGAACTACCTATAAGAAATTTTCCCATTTTTTTTTTAGAAACATAAAATAAAATATGGAACCTTTTTTGTTTTCATATTATATTACATTATTAAACAAGAATTTACAATCTTGCTGTACGCGTGTCATTAAAAAACAAAATTATACGATATCTTATTATAATTTTAACATAAATGTTCATTAAAAAATAATAATAATGGCTTACCTATAAAAACGTTTTGTCATCATTCATTAGCAAAATGAGAATTATTCCCAAGTCATTATAAATGTCAATAAAAATTTAAAATACTCCTTGCTGCAAATACATATTAAAATTGGTTGTTATTTATAGTTTTAAAAGTTATTAGCATAATTATAATCCACAAATATAATTTGTGCAATATATATTGAATAATTATATATTATTATATGAATGATATTCTTAATACATAAATAATAAATAATAATAATACAATAATTATTTATGTCTCAAAGACCTACGGTCTGTTAAACACTGAACTGGATGTATTTTTGCAGTTCAATAATATTTTAGCTGTAGCAAATTTATTCTATCGTAGTACCAAACTTCTGTGGTTAAAATGCAAAAATGCTTATGAAGCTTAATTAAATTATTTAGGTAAAATATGTACTAATTTTTTACAGTATTCCAACTTTAATTTTTTTTAAATATATTATGAATAAATTATAAAACAGACACCTATAATTGATATGAAACAAAAATATATTATTATACAACTCTCATATTTTATGGTTTGAAAACTAATTGATTTTCACTTTTTGGTTCATTGTAATTAAAGTTCGGATTTTATAGTATTTGCTACTTAATATATAGGATAGAGATAAAAATAGCAGAGTGGGCTATAAATTTGTTTTATGCACCAGGAACTCTAAATATGAAATTTTGCTATTTTTTGCATATTTGAAGAATTTTAGAAATTTTAGTGCTATTTTTAAAGTTTTGGTGCTATGTTTTACTAATATTCTTAATTCAACGCTTTATTTTATATTTTTCATAAACCTCGTTTATATTGAATGACAAATAGTATTCATTAATGCGAATCAATAAGAAAAATTCCCACATTTTCGTTTCATATCATATAACATGTAATAAATCTATTTTTAAATAGTCCGACGATGATATTCATAAGGCTTATGAGGTGTTTACTCGATAAAAAAAATATGTAGTAGGTATGCTGTACGGAGCCTGTCAGCAATCCAGATGGTGGTGGCTTATTAAATAAATACCTAGTTGAAGACAATACAATTTCAACAATGAATTAAGTAACAATTTATTTCTATTTCAATTTGAACAACATAACAACAATTAAAAAAAGTGTACAAATTGTATATGTCGAGAACGTGCTCCGGTCGTTGAGACTATGGTACATTTGAATAAGCTCTACTCCTGGCTCCCTTATTAGTGATGTTCCCATTTCATTGTCGTGGACCGGAGTTAATGGCTCTCAAGTCCAAACAATTTGTTCTTGCGATTTATTTTTGTCATGGAAAGTCGTTGTTTTCGTCAAAATGTGGATAGAATACTGATGGATTCGAGATTGTGAATATTAATTACCTAGTATTCACTAATCATTTAGTTTATAAGAACTACTACGGCCATGTTTTTGAAAAAGCCATGCGCATAGCTGGTCTTACAGATTTCTCTGACTCGTTTAATTGTCACCATCTAATGTTTTAAGGTCAGTGGTCGAATTGCTTACTACAGTATTATAGTTTCTAAGAGTTAGTACCTACACAACATCTGCTGTGGTTTTGCAATAGCCAGGAGATACAGAAATGTAATAGGTACTAGTATGACATTTAGGATTTCGTAGTCCTTTACATTAATCTTGATTCTTTCATTTGATACATTCGTTTGGTTGTACTAAATATATTAGGCAGATAAATACCTACTCATAAGCACTTGCATCACATTAAATAGTCTTATGTCGCGATCATACTTTTAAATTTTTAACATAATAATTTTTCTAAATTTATTGCTGTTGGTTTGTTCCTATAGGCATACTTTATAAATGAAATATTATGTAATATGTACACTTCGACACTTTGATAAGTTAGGTGTAGATGCTGGGAATTAATACAATGTACGTCATCACCATTTCGCATTTTATGCACCATAATTTGTAATTGGAACTTTGTGTATAGCATGCTATGGTACCACATAGATTATATTTATATAAATTCATATTCATACATCAATCCCAGAAAAATGTTGACGAATCAAATTTTACATAATATACTCATTAGTTATAGTCAACCTACTGATAGATACTATCAAAAATAAAAACCACAATTTTCAAAATCGTCCAATTATTCTTTATTGTGAAATAAATCGTTAAACATTTTTTCTTTAAAGATGACAATATTTAAAATATACTTAAGCTTTTTTTTCGTTCAAAAACTATTGAGTTTATTAATAATTTAGTTTCTAAATTTTATGCTGAACAAATTTAACTATATTTTTATTTAATCAGACGCACTTATACAAATTATTATACTTATTTGATGGTAATTGCATAATGTAATACTTTATATAATAACAATTGTAATAAACCTGAGCGTTTTGAGTTAGAGCATTTATATTATTGAGCAGTGTCGAGTAATAGACGAAATCCTTGATTATCGTCTATCCAGCTAATATTTTTATGATGTATTTTTGTTGTATGATTATGTTTTTTCATGAAATCAAAATACAGATGTACATTATGGAGTTCCCTATGTCATGATTATTTAAATGCTAGTCATTTTAAAGCAACAAATATATTTATTTAATTTTCTTATTTTAATGTCATTTGCGGCTATAATGTATAACATGCACCACATTTAACAATTGTATAATCTGCGAAACAAAAAATATAATATACTTATAAATATATCATTTTGTATCGTATTTTTAATAATATATCATATAAATTATTTAATTACGATTTTACAAAAAGTGTTAAATGACAGTATTATGTTGAAAGTTGGACAAAAAGAGAAAAAAAAGAATACACCAATCACACTAATCATTCAATAAGTCGTGAGCCATGGCAGTACAAATGTATTTAATTATATACGATCTTTGACATAAAGAACTGATGTAACATGTGGTTGACAATATTATGTAATAACTTTTGATCGAATAAATATATAGTTATTATAGTGCTATCACAATATAGTTGGTTAATTACATTTGTAAGTTATTTCAGTTACATCCAGCATGTATTCTGTATTGGTACATTTAATAATACATTATGATATCTTTACTACCTATATAGTTTATATCAGTGGATAGTGGGTCTTAACCTTTCAGGCCATGTACCGGATTGTACCACATTAAGATATAAAGTATAGTCATGCATCCATAAATAAAAACAAATTTTGATTTTGATTATTATTTAATGATAACTTTAAAAAAGTATTATAAAATTTTATATTTTAATTTTAATCATAACAATGAATACCGTAACCACAGGTGGGTGAACCTAAGTCATCAAATAGTTCGAACTATTAAAAACAAAATGTTAATATTAAAAAAAAAGTTCAGAGCGACTTCACGAAAGCTCGATTAAACATCTACGGAGATGAATCACCGGTTGAGAACCCCTGGATTATAATTATAAGATCGTAGTGGTAAAATGATGTAACTTTTTCGTATTATAAATTAATATCGGGTCTTTGCAATAACGCGATAGAGGATGGGATGTCATACGAAACATGAAAATAAAGTAAATTCTGGAAACGTTGCCACTTCGGCGGAACGGCCGTGGTCATCCACTTATCCGGCCTAAAGCACAGTGACTCCCCTCGAAAACCTCTCCTGACTTCCAGGCATGTAATTTGAAGTGTTGTACGTGATCAAAGGTTGGGTCCTGTTCCTGATGGTTGTCGTGGCTGTCGCCGTGGACCGGTTGCCCGGTTGCCGTCTCAGGATTTTCGAGTAGAACAGTTGAAACAGCTCGTTGCGGATGTTGGAGTTCATCCAGCCGTAAATGATCGGGTTGGAAATAGCTGAGGTCATGGCGGTCAGGTGACAAACCGCAAGCGTCACATACAGCTGTTTGGTCGTCATCGGCTGGGTCATCAAGTCAGCGGCCAACGAGAACACGGCCAACGGAAGCCAACTCACAGTGAAGACGACTGCCACTCCTGAAACACCCATTTTTTCAACCCTTCATTGGAATTCAATGCCCATTGAAGTATATGTGAAACATTTTTACGTTATATTCGTTATATTATGTAAACTATATAAATAACATGAACATTATTCATTAATGCTTACTTAATAAGAAAATTAAAAACTAGCAAAATTGGGTTTTCAAGAATTTGACTAAACATCTTTTCAGTTATTATAGTAGTCAAGTGTAATTTAATTATGTGATATAATAATAATAAAACGTGTTGTGGTAGGTGTAGGTATGATTGTATAATGTATTAATATGTATATTATACAATTTTGCTTGATTTCCGATAAGTTAGATAAGTTTCCGATAAGATAAATCAATGTTCGTCAACACCACTGGTTTAAAAAACTACAATTTATTAAAGTATAAAAACAATTTTCTAACCATTTGCATACCTTTTTACATAAGATTATTCTCAAAATTTCTAGACGCTATTTTAAGTTTACTTTTTTTATACACAATACAACTATTGCAATAACTATAATCAGCTTTCATAATACTTCGTGGATAGAAAGTATTTCAGTGATGTTCATAATGTACATGACAAACGGAAACTATAATTAGTGAGTACAGTAGTCATTTTGACGTAGGTATTATTATTATTATTATTTATAGACATGTCAATAAAATATGTTGTTGTATATGCTGGTAGCTTTGGAAAAAAAACTGTTATTCCAGAGGCCATTTTAAATTTTAAACAAATTGATAGGTAAATACTAATATTACATACACGGGCTTTCTTTACTTTTGTCATTAATTATACCTATCAGAAGTAGGGTGGTCCGTTTGTTTCTTTGAAGTTCTCGCTGTGCACGCCTCGAGTCTTTTTGAGAAGCAGTGTGTGCGTGTAAATATGCTGCAATACGAATATGAACCACCAAAAGAACAGTGGCGGGTAGTACTGCTTGAATGAGCACTACTGCTATATTATAGGCCACTTTGATATCGGTTGAAGGCCATTTTTCCCGACAAGATTCGTATAAAACTACATGTTGAAATTTTAACGGTTCGACCACCTGAAATACAAAAATTGTGTAAGATGGTACAATATAGATTCATATATAAGAATAAAAAGGTGTATTTGAATATTTCTGTTATACCCATGCCAAAGCAGTGGATGAGTTTTGAGCTTAAGAGGACTTAAGCGTATTTGCTTTACGTGTATATATAATATCTACTTCCAAAAAATATGATATTATTATATACTTATAATTTATAAAATTATAACGTTACACGTAAGCTATTATATGGCGGTGTCGACTCGATAACAATATCATATTATGGTAACTCAGAGTTTCAAATTGCGATCATTTTAAACTGGTTATACCTAATTAAGTCGATCATTTGTCGATCAGCCTAACATCTCCGTCTCGTTTATACCTGCGTTATTTTTGTGAGCCATCAAACCAGTGTTTACCTGGTAATAAGCTACTGGTGATGTGGTCAAGACGGCCAACAACCATACAATAGCTATGGACACGTACACTGTGCGCCTTTCGTTTTGCGCAGATCCGCGGACGATCACCCAGTATCGATCTATGGCTATCACCGTGATCGTGCCTACCGATACCATGATGTTGGTACCCTGCAACAGTGGCACGAGTTTGCACAACACGGTGCCCATGGACCACTGGTGTCGTAAAATCGACGTCAGCGTGAATGGCATGCACACCAAGCACAGAGTCATGTCGGAAACGGCCAAGTTGACTATGTACAGATTCCGGGAAGTGTGCATCTGCGCACGTCTGGCCACCACGTAAATCACGGTCAGGTTGGCCGACAGCCCGACGATCATCAAACCCAAGTACACGATTATCAGCAGAGTCTGAAAAAAGTAAAAAAGGTACCATTCATACTGACGTCGAACCACATCGTTTCATCAGACTATTGTTTCGGAATAACGTTTTAGGTTGTTTTCGATTCATTCCGGCTTATGAACTTAACATCGACTGTTCGATTATATTTTACGCTGGCAAGATGGTAATAATATAAATACGCATATAAATCATTTAATGATGTATTTTGTTTTGTTTGCGAAACTTTCTCACATCTACTTGAGAAAGTTTAACATACGATGTAAACGTTACATTATAATATTATAAAATATAATCTTTAATATATACGGTGGTATATACAGGGTGAATCAAAAAACATACTCACCATACATTTTTCTTTTAATAATAAACTTATTCAAACAATGGTTTTTTAAATTTCTCAGTATAAGTATACTCAAAGACCATATTTTCAAATACTTGCATCTGTGATTACATATATTTTATATTTTATAGAAAACCATTAAAGACTCTTTAGTAAATAAAATGTATTAATCCAGTAACTATTCGTTCGATTTTGATTAAGATTTATTATACCTAAAACGTTTTTAAAAATCGTCTTACTTATTAACAAAATACAGTTAAAGGTGTATGTTCTCCTGTAAAAAAACAAGTTTGTATCACCACAACATAATCCTTAATGGTTTAAAAATCCAAGTATTTTAAAATATTATTTTATGGAGTACCTATAGGTCAAAAGTTTCAATAAAATATAAAATAGTATGAGCATGCTTGGATGAATCGCTCTGTATATTATTATGGACACAAAAACAAAATTTGTCTTTTAGGGACAGTGTATCAATAAATATTGCGCTCATCATAATATTTTACGGTCAGTTTATCGATTGCGCTATTTATATTTAACGGTCAGTAGGTAAACCAATAATTGGGCTGCTTATATTTTATGGTCAGCTTATCAATTCCGCTCCTTATTTTTACGGTTAAAATACTTATTGTATTTGTCTTTTAGTTTTTTTTAAGCTGTACGCTTATTTATATACATAATAACAATTTATCACTAACATGGGCTTCGAAAAACTACTTAAAAAAAAAAAAACATTATTATATTTATTTTACTCCCTCTACTGTTAATCATAATATATCCCCATAGCTTTTAAGACCTTTTTCTATTTTTGTAATTATCACAAGCTAATGACCCAAGAAGTTGAAGCCTCAGTTAGTAGTAACCTAATTAAAAAAAAAAAATAATAATAATTTATGAATTGAAAATAATTGTATTTATATTAAGTAACTTAAGTGCTATGGAATATAATAAACGGCTGTTATTAAGGGCAATTGGCCAATCAACCCTGACAATGACCAATCGCAATATTTGTCTTTCAACCCTGAAAACGACAGAGTGCAATTGGTCTATCGACCTAGTAAATGACCGAGTCTAATAATGTTAGACTTCCTATATAATACGGACACGGTCGGCACGTTTTTTAATTCAACGTGATATGAAATTGAATAACCTGCAGTGTCGTGAAATACAAGATAATACACTAGATAGGTATATTATAATATCATTGAGAAAATTCCTCTGAAATTACAGAAAACCATGTTCACATGCAATCACTAAAATATTAAATAGGTAAAATTATACTTCACCGGTGACATTCACACAAAATCATTCAAAGTTAATGTATTGGTATCGAAAATGATGTATAGTTATTTAACCTTAACAGTTTATAAATGCACGAGTTTAAAAAATTTGAAGTCCGTCAATCATAATCTTATCCTAGTGTGACTACCGCTTATAACGTCAAATGTACATAATAATTCAATTTAAGCAATACCTAATTAAGATTTTGGGTTTAAAAATGAAAATTAATCAAACTATTATTTCAAAAACTTAGATATATGTCATTATAAAGTAAATTATTGGATTTAATTGAGATATTTACAAATATATTTTCAAAAATATATCCATTTTTCTCGTACTCAACCAGCAATTTAATTATGTTGCAATTCAATAATCTATTCTAATTAATATTTATGTATATACTAAAATTGTAAGTACCTATATACTATTTTGTTCGATAATACCTATATACTCAATACATATGTTTATGAAGAAATTATGAGAATAAGACATTAATTAGAAAATCATACTATTGTCAGTCATGCTATTTTAGAATGAAGATTTGTTGACCACAAATATTGTATTTTAAAGTATTTTTTTTATATTATTCATTACCTATTTCTAAATGTAAAACATCATCTTTATGTCTATACTCTATGCCATAAGTATACAATTTTTAACTTTGAACTTTTAAGATTCAATAGAATAAGAAAAGTTTTTATTATTTATGTATTTCATATTTATTTTAATTGTAGAGCTTATTTATACAACATCAAAGTCATTATTTAACTATTATTAGTAAAACAGTTTTTTTATTTAATAAAAATTGGCTGAAACGTTAATATTATTTATTATCCACGTTGAGAGTAAAATAAATATGAATAATAAAAAACAACAAACAAATAAATATAAATATGAACTAAATCTAATTTTAAAAACTGTGAACGATTAATTACATAAATTATAATTCTTAAAATTATGGAATTTTATATTAATTTTTAAAATAACGAAAAAAATTTCAGTAAATCATTTTCTATACAAACTTTTCGAACACTAAACAAAACTAAGTAGACGGATGCTTCAGAATTATATTATAGATAAGTAAAAACTCATAAAAAGTTGTTTTTTAATCTGATTTAGGTTTTAAATTGAAATAACGATATTTTTTATGAATTTAAAAACATAAATTCATCGTTCAGTCTTATTACATTTTTAGAAATGGATCTATTTTTAATTACCTACTGAATTATAATATTATAATAATGTGACTACAGTCTGAAGGTTTTTTTTTATTACTAATTGGGTTATTATTTCAAAGTCAAGTAATTTTTATTTCAATCACAAATCAAATTCAAGACTTAAATTGCATTAGTACACATTTCAATTGAAATAGAATCTTATAAATAACAAAGTTTAAATGAAACAAGAATATTAATACAATTATGAAAAATAATAAGTTTTATAATGTTTAAATACATTAAAAGCGATGTTCGTGCTGTTAAAGTTAACACTGTTTTGGGAATTGGAAATCAGCACTAAAACATGCAATAGATATTACTAATGTTGTTTATTTTCGATTTATTAAAAAACTTAATTACCTCAGTACTTTTGTCCAAATTTCGGGAATCACGTCTGTGCTCCAATAAAATAGAATATACTTCTTCCAAACTGAAATTAAATGTTGAGTTCATTTCTGTGTCATTACAGGTTTCCATAAATGTACTCATTGTTTCATCCAGCGAGCAAACCATTGAGTCATTGTTCGATGGAGATTTTAATCCTGAAAATGAATAAACTAAATATATAATGCTTTAATGGTATTATCGTTCTATCATTTTCCTTCTTTGTATATTGAATGCATTTGAGTCAAAGATCTATGTCGATGAATGAAAATCACCGTACATTTATCCTCAAATTTATTCATCGGAAAGAAATAAATCATTTATATATGTGAATAAATAAATATAGATTTTAAAGTTAGATACTTGGTATACAATATTATAAACTGAATTTTTTTTATGTAAATACTTATTGATTTATATAATATATAATATGTGTATAATACAGCATGCGAAAAAGTTGTGCAGGTGAATACAGTAATTTCGTATGTCTTCTTTACTACACTTTTAAAATTGTTCATAGAATTCCCGTCTTACTACCCATATCTATCCAAATACTTATCCATATCTATGTAAAATACACATTTTATAGTTGATACTATAGTCAAATTATGATTAACATTTAGGTACTTTTTGCTCTTAGATTAGGCAATTTACTATTGATATGTAAAAAGAAATGCATAACATATATAAATAATAGAAATTGATTGGCGATAATAATAATTACCTATTGTGGTACAGTACAGGTATAAGTACCTTCGTGTATGTAGGAAATATTATTATATTTTGACAATTTTATGATATTTTTAAAACATGTTAGATTTTGTAAGACTCGCTGCTCGTTAGTTATTCTAATTTTTAGTAATTACATACATATTTTAACTACAGTACCTAACAACTATTTGCTACACATTGCTGGTTTCAAATTATTATATTATTATTATCATTATATTGTATATTAAATGATGGTTTATATGATTTATTTAAAAATAATCTATTTTTCTTTCGTTTTTTGTTTCTACTTTTATTTATTATTTAGCGTATGGTTTGTGGTTACATGCATTAGAGTTATAATATGGTAACGTACAGTAAATTTAATTAATTAATATAATATAAAAGACGAATAAAATAAAAATAAACAAGTAAAAAAAAGAGAAAATATGAGTAATATTAATAAGGTAACGATAAGGTATTAGAGATCTAGTTCTAGTTCCTCCAGCCATTTAATAAATTTTGGAGGGGTTGTGAGGCAGTCGATTCTGGGACCTTGGTAGGCGTGGATAGGACATACAAATGCTATGTGATAGATGGTCTGCTTCTCTGCTCCGCAGTCACATTTTGGTGAGTCTCTCATGCCCCATTTGTGCAAGGAATCTGCACATCTACCGTGTGAGGTTCGTATTCTATTAAGTGTGCACCACAGATTTCGCTGTAGGTCAAATCCTGTGGGTATATGTCCTGGTGATATGTTACATAGGATGTTGTCGTAAAAGATGTTAATAACTAAAACTGAATGTTTGGAAAAATAATAATAATAGAAATCTCCTGATTATAAAACATTATAAACGTAAAATCAGGTATTCTTTTTTAAACAGCTCGTTTAATGTTGTCGTTAACTGTTCATATGATTGATTATACTTGATATAAAAATATAATTAAATAACACCTTCAGTTTTGGGATTATTGTATAACCTTGCTTTAAATTCATCAAATCTTAAACATTTTTAATCTTTTTTAAACAAGATTTATTTTTCAAAGGTAAATGAACTGTTTTTCAATGGTTACTATAAAGTATAAGAAAACGCCCTATTACACAATTTTTCTTGTGTATTTTTTCAAAATCAATAGGTAGTTATAATTATTTTCAAATTGTTGGACATCCTCTTAAGATATTATTAAATTGTATATTTTGTATTAAATATTAATTAAGTACCTACTATTTAAATAAATTATGATAATACATATACATATATAATATATATTTATTATATATACCAATAACGAATAGGTATTGTGTGTATACATTATTTTTCATACCTAGCATAATATTACTATAATAATTGTAATATAGAAACAGAACATTCGTTATGAAAACAATAAAATAAAAATAAAAATGTCAACAATTATTTCAACTATTTTTATGAAAATATTAAATTAAATTCATTACAAATTGTAATTTGAACCAATTATACCATAGAACAAACGTAGGATTATATGTAGGGTTGAGTTGAGCCCACAATTTTAATACCGTTCTAAGTAAAATAAATGTACCTACCTATTAAGCGTTGTATTCGTTACACGATCACGATAATCCCATTTCTATTATTTGTATATATTTATTAAATGTTAAAAATTATACTATAGAAATCGACTAAATAAAAATATATCAACAATTTTCACCTTAGATACACGATTTGCTTGCATTGGTAGAGTAAAAAAAGGGGATATAGTGTTAAATGTAATACATTTATATTGACTATTATATAGATCAAAGATGGGCAACTCAAAGTTACTAGAGGGATAAAAAGCAAAAAAAGGGGGTTATTCAAAATATACATTTTAATTAGCATTTATTTTGTTTATAATGTAATTTGAAAATGTACCTCGAGCCAGATAAAAAAGGCTCGTGGGTCGCTAGTTTCTCACGCCTGATATAGATAAACATTATTTACGCAATTGCATGGTAAGAGACTTGTGGCCATGTAAAATAAAATATGATTATTTCGAGTCTTATAAGACGAGATCAATGTAGTAATAAACTTATTATGCACGAATAATAAATTAATAATTAATAAGTTGATGTTCAATAGAAATTAAAACATGCACAATATGGTTGTATTTCCTGGGTATCTTGTGTTAAAAAATATGAATATTAATTACTAACGTATTGAGAAAATTTAATTTATTGAAAATATTTTTTACAGTTAATTATACAAAATATAATATACTATAATATACAATAAGCAGAGCATTTAGTCACGGGCATGAAATAAATACATTTATGAGAATGTTAAATCAATAACTGTTTTCTTTTGAGAGGCAATAACTAGTAATGACTGAGTAAATAGTGATCGATATTTTATTAGTCGACAGATTACTCAATTCCTTATTAACATATACCTTAATATTTTATTATAAGTTCAATGATTTATAGTTTAAACATGACAGTTTTTTAGTATGCATATATGATATGAGTCGAAATGTATACAAAATTTACATACGTCTTAAATAGTAGGTACGTATACTTCGATAAATATTATTACTTAATCCACAATCCACTATACAATTAAACGAAGAAATCAAAGATTCCTTTTCATTAATCTATGCCTATCACCTATGTAAATTTGATAAGTTACTTACAAACATTATCATACCATAGTAATTGAATTTCCTTAATTAGTTGCATACTGTTTGAACTTAAAATCGTGCAAAACATGACGAAGACATCATTAAATATGCATTTAAGAGCAAACCAATTATTATAATATATCAGATACCTAACCACAATAATTCTATACTTTGAAATGTTAAATGGCCATTTTCTGCACAGACATTTCAATTTTAAACTAATTCTAAAATCACAAGATAAAAGTTTGTGATCGTTTCATCCATATGACTTGCGATTGGAAGTTATTTTATTTAAAATATAAATTAGTCATAATGTTTACAAAAGAAAACGACGTTATACATATACCTACACCTAAAAGTGTACTTGCATACAAATATATCAAACTTATAATATATTACATTATGTAATTGGTGATCAAGGATACTAAGTGGTTAAAAATTTCAGGTAAACTGTAATAAATCATTAAACACAATGAATTAAGACCAATAACCAAGGGGTGCTCTAAAAGTTTCAAGATGATCTATCTAATCATTATTGATTATTTTGAAGTTAGGTGAAGTTGGCTATTTAAAAATTTAATTTTTTTGGAAACATAAGCGTATAGAGAGTTGTTAAAAGTAAGAAAACACCTCACAAATTCCATGATATAAATATATAATTGCCGTAAAATGTAAAAAGTACTTATTTACCACTACCCTGGGTACAGCAGGTCGAAATAATGGTCTGTTCGCGTACTCTGTAACCATTCTGGTTTTTATTTTTACTTTTATATTTTATGAAATGAAGCGTGCAAAACTAAACTGACTTAAAAATGTTATTTGATTAAATTTTCTTTTTAAATATTCATACAAATGTATTTACATTGTTAGGTTAAGTAAGATTAGGTCAGCGTCGATAGTTATCAAAGTTTAAGGTAAACAATATATACATAATGTTTAATCATTCGTGGTATTCATAAAAGTAAAACTTAAAAGAAGTTTAAAATTATTAATATTAATACCAAAACCAAAATGTTGAATAAATTACGCTACCTATATAAATATTTGTTTTCCTTAGTAAATCACTAACGAGTAAATTATTATTCACTAACGATTACAAAACTATTTCAAAGATACATTTAGATAATTTATAATTAATGGTGATAAATTATAACTATTTAATAATTTTTCTGGTTATTTTAAACGCTTGATAACATTTGAAAAAAAATGTTGTTCACATCTACTATATTGTTTTTCTGTGAAATACCTATATATTTTCTAATTCTTTTAAAGTTTGTAGCTCTTTATTTGATCATTTTTATAAAATATGAATTTCAATTTTATAAAACTCATAATTGAGTACGAGATCTCTATCAAAAATTTGGAATCTGTATCTATTTTTTAAAAATTGTGTATCTTATTATGTCTTATAATAATACCCAGAGTACACATTTTCAACTGTTCATGTCTAAAAAATCTAGTTTTCAAATTCTTTAAGTTGATTTTATAAGTAAAATAATTATTACTCTTTAAAGTAATTTATCCAAACCCATCACTAATCTTAAATGTTGCATAGTAGCACCTATATTCTAGAGAGTATATACAATACTATGTAATATTATTTATTTACTAACCGAAACAGAGTTGTAGTTTAACTTGAGATTAAAAAATAATAATAAGTAACGCATGTTGTATATAATGCATGTCTATAACTACGTGTAAACAAGTTTCTAGTATTGGACACATACAAAAAATACTGTACGCCTGTATTAGCATCACTCAAAACTGTTTTTTCGACGGCCGCATCGTGTAACACATACCCAGAAATGCGTTC